CATTCGGAGGTGGATGACTTCACGTAGTATCACAACAATTGAATATTGTAAAGAAAGTAACACAACCATCATATATATAAAATGAAAACGTATATTGTTGCGTTATACATGTTATCAAAAGAATATTACAATATGATGTTAAATGTTCAATAATAAAAACATCCTTAGTGTTCCTTCTCCCAAAAGTTGGTAGTTACCTGTATCACTGATTCCCTGAGAAATACAAGTGGTTTTAAAAAGTGTCAACAATTAAGTTGGTGAGTTCATGAGTGTTTCGAGTTGAAAAGTACATCCTTTTTGGTAGTAAATTGGTAAACGAGGTTTTCAGAAAATCCAATATTTCCTTGTAAGTGATTCAAAATGTTTCCAAAGTTGGAAGGTGTTGGTATCTTTTATACTTGAATGATTAAAAACAACTTGGTATGAAAACTAATGTAGAAAGTTGCAATGCACATATGAATCTCGTAAATCAATCTTGTTTTATACTTTTATGTGAGTTTTATAACCATGCTATTGACACTGACGGCCTGTAACAACATTCTTCAGGTGTTGCAGTGTTATGACATTTGTCACCCCAGACCTGCCGGTCTAACTATAGCTAGTAGTTTAGGTGCGGGATTGTCAATCCCGTATAGATCTATACACAAGTATCACGCTCTCCCTCCAAGAGATTATGGTATATAATACAGGACTTGTAATGCATACATAAATGTACGTTGAAGTTTGAATATCTCACATTGCTTAGTATAAATAGATTTACAATGAAATGACTTTCGTTTTTCAAGATGTATATGTAAAATGTAGGACTGACTTGTTAACTATACCCATTATAGTTTTTCCGATAGTATGTTCCATTTACTAGAAATAACTTAGTGACATAATAGCACTTGTATACATAAGTTGTTTGTATCGATATTCGAAGATAGAAATTTCATTTATTGTAACGACTCGTTTCCGGTATGTTAATTAATTGTTAATGGTCTAAGTCTTCAAGAGGGACTCGGCGAGTTCTAGCCTGACTCGCCGAGTTGGGTCGCGCATTTTGTGCACGCGGGAGCCGGCGACTCGGCGAGTCCATATCCCGGACTCGGCGAGTCCGTCCGTCTGGGTGAAACCCTAAATCCCCGGGTTTGCTCACTATTTAAACCCCATTATAGCCTCATTCTCGCCACTTTCACCCTGAGAGCTCTGTGAGAAACCCTAACCCTTCCATTTGAGAGCTTATAAGTGATTTAGTTCCATTTTGTGAAGGTGTGAAGAAGGAGAAGAAGAAGGAAGCAAGGAAACGAGTTGTAGTGCAAAGATCCAAGGTCAAATCTGAGCTTATTGAGGTATTTTCGGAGTTCCCTTCTGGTTACATGCTTAAACTTCCATTAGAGCTCTTTTAAGGGCTATTTGATGTTGTTCCAAGCCTTATGTTTGCATGAATGTGTTAATAAGTCGAAATACCTTTGGATCTGAGTGTTGGGGTGTTGTAGAGCCCAGATCTACTGTCTTTTTGGAGCTACATTGCATATTAGCCATGGATCTACTCTTGTTGTGCATCTTTTAGTCTTATTTCCCTTATTCATGAGGTTGTGCACGTAAAGTTGGAAACTTTACGTGGTAACACAGCTTATTGGACCTAGATCTATCATTTGCATGTGTTGGATTCAAGAGAAATCGAGTAAAATATGTTGCATGGCGGCGACTCGGCGAGTCGGAAGAACGACTCGACGAGTCGGGTCGCGAGTCCTGAGTTCTTCAGTTTTATCAGTGTCGAGTGGACGAGGCGAGTTAGGGAGTGGACTCAGCGAGTTGAGAGTAGACTCAGTAATGGAGGGACTCGGCGAGTTTGTTCATACAACTCGGCGAGTCCAAGGCAATCTTCTTGGGGATCAAGAACAACTCGTCGAGTCTGTTCATCCGACTCGGCGAGTCGGATGAAGATCATCTGAGTTCTTGGATCCAGAGGGTACTCGTCGAGTCGATGCCACACTCGACGAGTACCAGCGTGTAAGAGTTGAGAGGAAAGTCTAGGACTCGGCGAGTTGGGTATCCCGACTCGGCGAGTCAGCCCTGAGTAAGTTGACTTTGACCAAGGGTAAAAGAAATCATTTTACCCCGAGTGTAGTGTTAGTGATTGATTGAATGTGTTTATGGATTTGTAGCCGAGGAGATTCAGGAGCAGCAGCCGTTAGCTTTCCGAGCCACACACTCATCCGCTAGCTTACGAGGTGAGTTTCCTTCCAGTAGGGACGGGTCTAAGGCCACAATGCCGGCCCGTTCAGTTAGTAGTGGTTCCGGACTTCGGTCCATGTAGTAGTTAGTATGTTTGATGCCTTCGTGGTTCAGACATAATTCATGCGCTATGTGTATGTGTTTATGTTCCGGGCTACGGCCCGATGCAGTATGCAGTATAATTGTTATGATATGCTATACTATGCTCAGTCAGTTCCGGACCTCGGTCCGATGCAGGGGACACGGTCCCAGTTAGTTCCGGACTCTGGTCCGATGCAGTTAGTTCCGGACTCTGGTCCGATGCAGTTAGTTCCGGACTTTGGTCCGATGCAGGGGACAAGGTCCCAGTCAGTTCCGGACTTCGGTCCGATGCAGTTTCCGGGCCCCGGCCCGATGCAGTGGGCAAGGCCCAATATGTGTTTATATGTTTTGTATGGTATGTGGTAATTTGGGGGAGCTCACTAAGCTTCGTGCTTACAGTTTCATTTTTGGTTTCAGGTACTTCCGCAAGCAAAGGGAAGAGCTCGGGGTGACGGCATTGCACACACCACCGCCTCAGCTTTAGTCTGGGATTCATTTAGTTGTTGATTGATGTAGTATGATACAGTTTCCGCACAGTACTTTATTATATTTTGGGACATATCACGCATGGTTTATTTATATGACACTCTGATTATAGTTTTGATTACATTAAAAACAAATTTTTTTTTTTTGGTCGTATTTTTGGTCGTTTCATTTATGTTCATAAAACGATACTTTAACGTGTAATGTACTTGTATTCCCCCCTCTAAAACATGAAAAAGAATTGAAAAGTAGGGGTATGAACTCACTCGTTAAGTTTGAAGAGAGAGGCTAGAGTTAAGTAGAACTTCGATCGCGGATAGTTGCGTCGTCGGGCTCTTCGGGGATCTCTGCAGCGTAAATCTTTCGTCGGGGGCTCGAGTGCGGAAACCGAGGTGAGGGGAGGGTCTCTGGAGCTTAGAAGTATGAGAGAATGACTGAGGGCTTGTGATTTGTGTGCAAAAACTCGAGCTTATGCCTTCTATTTATAGGGCTGGAAACCCTCGTACGCGACGCGTACCTCCGAAGTACGCGGGGCGTAACAATGCGTCATGGCTTACGACTCCTGGCTAGCTAAGCGTAGAGTGGGCGAGCCGATGGGACTCGACTCTGGGTCTAGTACGCGGGGCGTACTCCCAGAGTACGCGGGGCGTAATCTGGCCTGTCCTCTTCTAAATTCCGTAACTTTCGCGTACGAGCTCCGTTTTTCGTATTCTTTATATCCATGCGTAGGTGAGATTATGCTCTACAACTTTCCTTTAGATTCCGTCGGCTAGTTTTGACTTTATTTTTAATGACATAAGTTTAAATAGGCCGGGCCTCCTAAAGTTCGTTAAAGATTTATAGGTTCTTTATTCGGCGTCGGTTTCCGTTTGTCTTTTTATCAATTTGCTCCTATTGCGGAGATCTTCAACTCTCATTTAGATTGCGTTAGCTAACTTACACTCGATCTTCAATTCGAGTTTTTAGCCCTCTACTACTGTTACGAAACTTTGAAAATTTGTAACTTCTTTAGACGAGGTCCAATTTGTGCGATCTTTTTATGCACGCTCTCCTTTCAACGAGATCTACGATTTTTGTTTAGATACTTAAGGCTAGAATGCATATTATTGAGATTTTTCTTTTTACGTCAAATAATGTTTTAACGGCGTGTCGTAAATATACGAGTGGTTGTAATTTCTTTAATATAACCCAGTTTTGAGCGTTCTTTATGTTTTCGGAAACCTTGATACATTATCTAATATTTGATACATCCCAACTTAGATATTTGAATACTTTCAAGGTTAATTTAGTTGTATTTGACTTTTGAGCGTTACAATGCTTTTGGAAAATATAGGGTTGTCACAAACAACTACTACGACTTTCATTTAGATTACTTAGGCTAAAAAGTAATTTATAAAAAATTTACTTTTTACGATACGCGGAGTCATACCGATTTACTCACGAAACTTCGGAGAAGCATAAATTCTTCATATGATGTCGGATTTGAACGCTCCTTATATCTACGGAATCATTTTAACATATACTACAACTAAATTAAGATTATTTATCATAGGTAATCTTTTATTTTCGACCCATATTTTAATCTTATTTATTTATTACTAATACCGTTATAATTTTCATAAAACATCCTATAAAACACATAAGCACATAATTATATGAATAATCTAGCAGGAAGCGTGGGCGTTACATTATAAGGCGACTAATGAAACATTAAGTAACTTTATAAGGTTTTGGATATGAAATACCCTAAGCAGTTATCGTGGTCAAAATTTCAATAGCGGTCACATGTCGCTATTTGAAATTGCGGTTATCGCGGTGATATAGCAGTGGTATAGCGGTATCTTAATATTATGTATAATTTATATTATATATTTATACAAAATTTATATATTAGATTATTAATACTATATAGAATCAATATCATAAAAAATCATATTAAAACAAAACCTAATCTATATATAATATTCTAATATAGTAATATGAAAACTAAAAAGTGTCAAAATATCATCGCATCTCAAGTCGTTCGTGGTTTCTAGATATTGAAATAGAAGAGAAAGAGAAGTTGTCTTTTGTTGCTTTGTTATTTGTAATTAATTATATTTATTATTTGGACTTATAAAAATAAAAAGTGTAGTGGACTAGTTAAAAAAATAAAGATTTAATATTGAAATAACATACAATTGTTTTTTTTTTTTTTTTTGTCAAAATAGCCCAATATGTACAGAATTGTAAAAGCGGGTGTAGCTCGCGGTAGCGCTGATGAAGTTCGCGGTAAATAGCACCATTAATAACGTCACCGCTATTTGTAAACGCTATTTCAACTAGCAGTTCAGTAACACCGCAAAATATTTTAGTACCGCTATTAATAACATAGGTAATACCAATTCATTTTAGACAAGTTCATTGTATTCTAGACACTATTTTAACATTTAGATTGTGCTTATTAAGTTGTTACTCGATAATAAAACACAAAAACAAGTAAATGAAGCTACAACTAACATGTAAAGTCTCAATATCGTCATGATCTAGCAACATTTTTTTTACATCGACAATAAATCTTATATCCTATGCCTTGGTGTAAAGTCCAAATTGCATTAAATATGGTCCATTAAATCCGAAACATGAAATTACATTTCAGACTCGTTGGTTATTTTTCTAATTTTCCAAAATATCAATATCTATTTAAAGAGTGTTTGGCTAAGCTTATTTAAAAATGCTTTTAACTTTTTAACTTGCAACTTATTAGCTTATAGCGGTGTTAAAATGAAGTTTTTTTTTTCTAAATGGTTGGATTAATTTATCTGGTATCAAAATGTTATAAGTTAGAACAACCAATTTTAGTGTTTTGGCAAAAAAAAAAAAAAAAAAAAAAAACTTTATAGTAATGTTGGACAGTTATAAGTTATAAGGCGTTTTGATAAGTTAAGAGTTAGTAACTTATCAAAAATAACTTATCACCGGTTCCACACTACTATAAGTTATTTAAAAAAAAATATCAAACACTCATTTTAACTTATACTAATAATACGATTAACAACTCATTTTTTAAGCTTAACCAGAAATTTGTGATTTTGTTATACTCTTGTAGATTAAGCCCCTTTTAACTAATACCATAGTTGAGGGGCCAATCTGGAAATTTCCTAAACTCCAAATGGTCAAATAATCGATTATCCCATTTCTTCGCGACCGAAACCCTAAACATCACCAGATCTTCACCTCTCATAGATTGGTTCGTTTTCTCCCTCCCTTCTCTCATATGTATGATGAACTTCTTTGTATTAGGAAATAGCAGTATATTTGTATTTTAGGGTCAGTTTAAAGTTCTCGCTAATGAATTTCATTTGTGTTCGCAGATTTTACAGATCCGTCGGTGATTCGTGGAGCATACCAAAGCAGCGTCACTTTGTCCGATCGTCCTCCCAATCGGTATGTCTCTCCGTAAAACTCGCTGCTCTCTCTCTCTCGTTACTCTATTTTTCTGTAAATTTCAATCGGTATGGAATTCGATTTCATGGTTTTTGGTGACTCTTAATTCTTGATTATTTTCAATATTGATTATTGATTCTTAACTTATAGTAATACCATGCTGTTTGTGATTCTTGATGTTGTTTGGTGATTCTTGTTTCTAATACATAGATTATATGTCTGCAATTGTTGAATTGATTCCACAGTTTTTGTTGATTGGTGTTAAAATTGGGAATTGTCATGTTTTGTTACTGAGTTACTACAATTGTTGAACTGATTCTTAACTTAGGGAGAAAAAACCAACAAAACTAAAAGAATAAATCTAAAAAAATGCATCTGGGCCTTGTAATCAGATTTCTAAGTTCTAACCTAATCAACCAACACCCTCCATTTAATCTAATGACTTTTACTCAATACTCTGTTTTCTTAATGAATTACTACTTGTTTTTAATTTTTTGCAGAAGTATTAATTTGTTATTGACTTACTTCTTATTGCTACTTTCTCAGTAGGGTACTACTAGACAGTGTTTTTTAAGTTTTTGCAAAAACTTGTTTCTCTGAGGTTTTTCTTGCATTTTAATTTGGCAATTGAACTTCTGTTGATACTTTATTGAGGAATCAAAGATGTATTTTTCATAAGACTTATAATGTTCTACGATTTTGTAATGATGGCATTAATTTTGACTTTCTAAGTTGATATGGAAATTTGTTTTGTTTGTTATGAATTCTATAATGCTATCTATGATGTTTACCTCTCTACTTGTTAGATCAAAACAGTTTTAGATTTACATTTAGAAATTATTATTTTTTAAAGTTTTTTCGATAGAAGGTTGTTGTAATATTTAGGGTTCCAAAATCTGTTTTGTGGCTGATGTTTGATTCTATTTTATTTTTTGCATAAATTTGAAGAAATGAGTGGAACCAAAATCATTGGTGCTCTCGTAGGATCATTTGTACTTGCATTCACATGCGATTATATTATCGCTGACAAGAAGATTTTCGGAGGTATGTAATTAATGTATCCGCTCTCAATCTTTCATCTGTCCAAAAGACATAAATACCCTCCTCATCCTCATCATTCAAAATACCCCTAAAAAGCTTGTCCAGTTACCTGACTTATTATTTTCATGTATAATCTCCTATTTTTGATAAATAGAACGAGGGCATTCATGTCCATTTGTACAAACAAGAGATCAAAGACGAATACACTAGTCACCTTTTTTGCATAAGACAAAAGCGACATCATTTATTTATTTATTTATTTTTATTGTATTTGATTTAATTGAAAATAATTACGATAGGTACCACTCCATCTACGGTTTCAAACAAGGGATGGTGGGAAGAGACCGACAAGAAATTCCAGGCATGGCCTCGGACTGCGGGCCCACCCGTGGTGATGAATCCAATCAGCCGCCAAAATTTCATTGTCAAGGCTCATGATTAAAATTTAAAAATCCTAAATTTGGTGAATTTTTACCTCATGGTTGGTTGAACTTTCTTTGTTGTGTCATTACTAATTTTAGTCCATGAGAATTTTATATTTTTGCTAATACTTTGTAAACCAAGCATTTTGATGCTGCAACTTGAAGTTTTAATAAATTGTTGATTGGTTTGTTTGCTTTAGTGCTTCGTTCTACAACCAAAATTTGCAAATGTTGTATCTGTAATGTGTTTAATGAGTTGAAACTTGTCTTTTTAATAAATTGGTTGAAAGGTAAAAAATTGTTGCATAAATAAAGGTTTAAATGTTGCAATCTTATTAGGAACTGGTTTTGGTTATAGTGTTTATTTTAAAAAATTACTGCAGTTTGGAATTTTATTGGTATGTACGGATTCTTATTACTTTCACCACTGAAATAAAATTTTTTTTTGGTTAACCATTGATTTTTTTTATTTACTTATAAAGGAACAACTACATGAAACTTTGAATTAATTAAAAGCCATAATAGTTTGAAGTTTATTCGGGTTAACCATACAAAGAATTTGTTTTTAGGATTTAACCACCATAGTTTGGAATTAAAACAAATGGCAGATACCATAAAAACTACTGTATTTTTTTTAAAACACTAAAACAAATTGTTTTATAGTTTAATTTTTGAAAGTTCGTTTATTTATTTTTTATTTTTATATTTTTATTACAAAAAAACCACTTTAACAATTGGAAAGAACAAGTAGGGGAATGACTACAGTGATGGAATGGATGATTATATTTTATGGTCAACTTTTGTTTGGCCCAACAAGTAGAAAGAGCCATTCTAAAGTACGTTTTTATTGATAAATATAAACTTAATTAGAGTTAAATCCATAAATAAGTAAAAATGTTATTATATATATATATATATATATATATATATATATATATATATATATATATATATATATATATATATATATATATATATATATATATATATATAGTGAATATACCCTTATAGGTGTTCGATAAAAAAAATGTGATGTAAGAGGAAGATAATAGTGAAAATTTGAAAATCTTGAAAGTAAATCAAGTTAGGATTGATGTTTAAGAACATTATAATGAATATATCAAACAAAATGATGTGTTACGATGAGTTTGAGTACGTAAGTTTATATATCCTTAAGGGTATATTCACTTTTCCCATATATATATATATATATATATATATATATATATATATATATATATATATATATATATATAAACTAAAGAAAAAACCCTTTCCACTAAAATCAGCCCAAGAGAATTGTATTAGACCAGAAGGAGTGGGAGTGAAGCTTCCCTCACCTAAAATCAAAAGAATGGGTGGGAAGCCCTACGCTCACTTTTTTTTTTTTTTTTTTTTTTTTTTTTTTTTTTAATTTTTAAATTAAATAAAATTATTTTTTTTGTTATGAATTATACATTATAAATTAATACTAAACATAAAATTTAATTAAAAATAAAAAAACATTTCATTAATTAAAATAAAACTTACATTAAACCTAAAATTTAAAAAAGTAGAAAATTAATAAAAAAACACACACAAACTAAAAATCAAATTAACCAACAACCTACGGAAAATATTTTTAAAATTTTTTTTCCTTCTTCTTCATCACGAGCTCGAGAGCCGGTCCCGAGAGATGATCGATGTTTTCCATCAAAAACTTCATGTCCTCCATTCTTGTCTTTCCGCACGCTACTTTTTCCTTGTTTCTTCTTTTTCTTTGTCGAAAACCAAACGTTCGGAGAAATTTAGATTATATCGATCAAACGACGATGTTATCTTCCGCATTTCGTCAATGTTCACACTGAAATCAGATGCACTCAAAGAAGTCCCTTTTCCCTTTCTCTTCGCTTTGTCCCTACCCATTGGGCGGACAATTTCTTCTAGCCCGAGTTCGTCGTCCTGATTTAAATCTAGACCGACCCGAGCATCGGAGGAGGTTGTGTAACTACTAGAGCCTGTTTTCGTTCGCTTTGATTGTTGGACTACAAAAATAAAATATTGCTCGTATTTTTTCCACCTAGGACATCGGACCAATAATCTCCAACAATCGTGCCCACTTGAATGGTTTTCCGACTTCCTCAAGGGAAAACTGCAACGCTTCTTGAAGTATTTGTTCGTCGCATTGGTCGGTTTTTCGTTGGATTTTTAGGTTGTTGTACAACCCATTTATTTTTGAAACCCCCTTTGCTATTTCTCGAAATTTCGAATTAAGTTGATGTTTCGTACGATAGTCGTCACCTTTTCCTAGCTCCTCTCGAAATCGTTCTAAAATGCGAAACCAAAAATGGTCTTCCGGTTGTGTGTTTCCCTGAATCGAATCTTCAGAAATATCAACCCAAGCTTTGACCAAAACTAGCTCTTCGTGTGGAATCCATGTTGTCAGCTTTTGTCTTCCAGGTTGTGCGACACCCTCGCACGCTTGTTTTTTTTTTTTTTTTTTGTTTTTTTTTTTTTTTTTTTCCGTTTACGTCTTTGTGGTGGTGGTGTTGGTTGAGTTTCGGGAACCATATCTTCTTCTTCCGCATCATCCGACTCATCGACAAGTTGGTGTTGTTGTTGGGTTTGGGTTTGAGTTTGAGTTTAGGGTTGAGGTTCATTTAGCGATTGTTGATCCGGAAACACAACAAAGTTTGAAAACATTTGGAACTTGCATCGGGTAATATTGTCCAACATTTTTATATTGGAATTGTAGTAGGGATTAAATGAGAGCATCGAGTTGGAGGCGGTAAACTCCTTACAGGGATGAATCGATCGCAAAAATGTTTCGAGAAGGGATGTTTATACTCGAACCATGACTTTTTTTCCTTCGATCGGAAGTTAGGATTTGATTGTCGGGATTCATTTTTTAGAAAAAAATAGAGAGAATATAGGGTAGTATGAATAATGTTTGATGTTTAATATATATGTATTTATAGGAATGGAAAAGGGTTAAAAAAAATACATTTAGTCGTTATAGCAAAAAAAAAAAAAAATTACTTTTTAACCGTTGCATAACGGTTCAATTTCAAAAAAAAAAAAAAGAAAAAGAAAAAGAAATTACAACAAATCGCAGCAAGAGAGAGAGAGAGAGAGAGAGAGAGAGAGAGAGAGAGAGAGAGAGAGAGAGATGCTCCCCTCTCCGTTTCCCGCCGCATATCGCTTCCCTACACCGACGATGCCGTGTTCCGCCGGACAGGAAGCTCCCCGTGTCCGTTCCCCGCTCCCACTCCGTCCGGCCTTAGAGGAGGAATGTTGCATTTCGGTCCTTTCTTATGCCAACCAAACATGATTTTTTATTACTCCATACTACTTATTTTATTCTCTTTTAGATTAATGAGTTGCAAAAAACAATCGGAATATTATTTTTTAGGTGAAAGATGTTTTAGAAAAAAGGTTTAAATATTTAATGGTTAAAGCGAAAAGAAATAATTTGAGTGCTTACACGAACAAATCCCAATATATTTTTTTTATAAAATTTAAAGTTTTATGTAGCGGTCTTCTCAAATAAAATAAAATAAAAAACAAACTTTTAGTTGTTGAAACAGAAACATTATCTCGATGGTTAAATAAACGCTAATATATATTTTAGGAGATTAAGGGAAAAAAAAGAAAAAATATATCGTTTTTTTGCAATTCATTATTGACAAACACATTACTAGCTGTAGTTTTTATAAATTTTTTCCGTGATCAATCTAAAAAAAGTTCCAAACAACAGTGTTTTTTTATTTTATTTTATTTTATTTTATTTTATTTATTTATATTATTATTATTATTATTATTATTATTATTATTATTATTATTATTTTTCTGTTATGAAGTTTGTACAAAAAGAAACATTTTGTTGCACTAATAGAGAAAAAGAAAAGCATAAATAATCACATTGACACTTATATTACTATTTTTAAAAATTTTTTTTTCCTACAAAAGACATTAAATTTTCATTTTGTTCGATTTTGATAATAAGTTTATTTTTTTTTTCAATTTTAACATTCTATTTTTTTCCAATTTTGTTTAATGTTTATCATTTTCCATTTGAAACCACATAAATATTTTTTTATTACATTTTAAACCATATAAATACATTTTTTTTTCATTTCAAAACTACATTTTATTTAAATACAAGCTTTTTTTTAATACATTCAAAGCATAATAATATGCATAAATATGTATTAGTTATATCATAAGAACCAAACTAACCATAAGCTTTGAATAATAACACAATTTTATCAATTATCGCTTATGAAATATTATTTATTTTATTTTTTGTTGTAGATTTTACACATTTTTATTTACAATTAAACAATTACATTAGGTATATATTGATGTCATGTCTAACGTTCGTTTGAAGCATTGAATAAGATGTAAGAAATATAGAACAAAATACTACAATTTAATGAGAATAATAAATTAGATATAATAATAGTGATATTTATCCTTCATAAATATTTTTGAAAAAATTGAGCTGAAAAATATAGAACAAAATACTAAAATTTAATGAGAATAATAAATTAGTTATAACAATAGTGATATTTATCCTTCATAAATATTTTTGTAAAAATTGAGTTGAAAAATATGATTTAATGGGAGTCACACCATATGATTCAATATGTTTCTAATAATATTATGAATATGATATGAGATGTAAAAGTTTCACAGGTTGTAAACCTGATCTCTAGATCTTGATTGACTATACGTCTATAAATCTTCAAACTCATTTTAAAATTGCATATTTATTATAAAATACGATTTTTATATAATTAATAAATATTTATACATAATATTTTGGTTTGAATGTAAAAATTTTTGTATATGGTTTTAAATGAAACAAAATGTATTTATATGGTTTAAAATATATTAAAAAAATATTTATTCGGTTACAAATTGAAAATGATCAACATTGAAAAAAATTAGAAAAAATGATATTCGATTTTGAACAAAAAAAATAGTATCGAAATTGGAAAAAAAAAAAATTAAGCTTAATGTCAAAATAGAGAAATTTGAAAACTTAGTGTCTTTTGTGGAAAAATAATCAATTTTGACACATCAGCATGCCACGCTATTAAAACTGACACATCATCATGCCACGTCAGTAGGTAACTGAGTTGACCGGTCAAATGGTTAGAATTGTAAAACAAATTGTCAAATTTAAGATAAAAAAAACACAATGTCAAATTAAAATTTTAATATATATTTAATATCTTTTGTACTATTTACCAAACATTATATTTTCTTTATTTTTGTATGGAGCACCAAATCTTATTCCAAAGGG